ACCTGGCAGGCGGGAAGGATCAGGGCAATCCCGCCTTCGGGGTTTGATGACTGTGGCTTGAGAGTAGGGGGAGGAAGTAAAGGCCGAACTGCTCCAGGTGGGCACTCCGTACGACACCACATAGTAAGGACGCAGGTAGTTACTAGTAGTTGTACGCGATACTCCATACCGCACCGCTCATCTCTTGAACAGCGCACAGAGAGACTCTGGTACAGACACCTAACAGCACCCGTCTCACACACTAACGTATGACTCTCACGACCAACGAGAGTGGCAAATCAAGGCTTCAAAGCATGCAGACAGAAAACTTCAATAAGAAATCACTGACTGGCTAGCAGCACGCTCGCTGCCAGCACTTCAGGAGCAGTCGAGTTTGGGTCACATTCGAAGCACCGGGCACGACCAACGGTGCATACGCCGTTTCCTGCAGCTAACCCACCATTTGCCGCCCCTTGCGCCCCTTGCGCCCCAACCAAGGACGGGCGCTGGATCCCTAAGACCAGGGTTTCAGCCTGAGTCAGCAGCCCGAAGGCCTGGAGATGGCTGCTGAGGCCCAGAAAACACCACAACACGCAGCATGCGGTTGGCTCTCGTTTTGTCCGTGCCCATCCCTCTACGTGGCAAGGTGATTCTCCACCAGGTTGGATAAATCTCTGATCGACCCGCGACAATAATCCCGAACTGCTCTGAAGAAGTGGTCTGGTGATGGGAAGGGAAGGACAGGTGAAGGGGATTCTGTGTTTTGGTTTACAATCGATGGTGATCTTGCAGATCTTCTCCTACTCCACTCGGCGACTCTTTGATACTCGTCCTGTGTACCCAGTACTTTTGATCCCGAAGTTCGGCACCTTTCCACCCGCTGGCAGTTGAACGTAAGCACCTTCTTTTGTTTTTATGTCTGGGCTTATTGTGGCCGAGACAAAGGCAGGTCAAGTTTCAGCTCGTCCAGCTGGGTGGGACACCAGAAAGCAGCGGTCGAATATCACAGCGTGTCCTCCTTGTAAAAGAGGCTTGTAATGAAACGGAAACTGGGGGCGAAAGAACGTGCAAGGGTGGATGGCCACTGCAGTGGTAAGATAACAAGGAATAGCTCTCCTGGGACGGCCTCACCGGACCACCCTCCGAACGGAGTACTGTACTGTACGGAGTACGAGGTGGAGAGTAAGGACTTACGGACTCCGCACAATAACCTCTTCATTTCAACGGCTGCGAGAAGTACTCCGTAGTTGCAATGTACTTCGGAGATCCGGCGGCTGCTTTCTCTTTTCCGCTGTCATTTCCACTCTGTCAAGCAGCAACCTGAATAGAGACATGCGGAAGCAATGCGTCGAGAGACTTCTTCGACACGCTCTAGTCTTCACAAGCCCCGCATCCTCACGTACAAGTACAATACATGGACAATGGAGCAATGCTCCGATCGTGACCGATGGGGGAGACATTGCTATCTTCCCCAGGCGGCTCTCCTTGTCGGTGCTCCACCCTCTACCATTGGTTAGTTGACCTAGAACACGTAATCGCCGTTTAACAGAAAGTCTTTTCCATAATTGCAGAAGGGCAGCCTCGTAGGATCATTGCTCATGTCACACCATGCCAATGCTCCCCGAAGGAATGGGGCCCGAGTCACGCTGAGTATTCAGGCAGGCCCCGTGATGGCCGAGCCCGATGCATCAACCCCGTCTACGTCAGTCACCTGATACTCGTAGCATGCTCGTGGCTGGCCTATGAACCCTCGTAATATTCATATGGGCGACCAGTCAGGCAATAGCTTCGTACGGAGTACTCCACAGCAGAACAGCTTCTCCCAGCTTGCACTCGCCGCTCATACAGCAATGCTTCGCCATCCGCACCAGTACATGCTAAAACTGGGGCCTGCTAGTCTGCATCAACAGGATCCCAGTCGGTAACAAGGTACTCGTCAAGGTCATCCATCTTCTTCATATCCTCGTCCGAAATCTCGAAGTGACTGTTGTTCCCGTTTGCCTCGATCCGATCCTTGGATATACTTTTTGGCAGAGGGATATATCCGTGCTGAAGACTCCACCGGATCATCAACTGTGCCGGAGTACAATTGTATCTCTTCGACAACGAAACGATTGTAGGATGCTGCATACGCAGGGCTCTCGCTAGAGGTGCGTATGCTTCTACTAGGATACCGTGCTTCTGACACGCTTGGACGATCTCTGTCCGGGTGTTGAACGGGTGCACTTCGATCTGATTGATCGCGGGCATGATGCGAGGCTTCGACGCGGCGAGCTCATCTAGGTGCTTGACACCAAAGTTACTCACCCCTCCAATCTTGATCTCACCATCCTGAATGGCGTCCTCGACCGCTTTCCAGCTGGACAGACGAGCGTCCCTTCCGCCATACGGACTGTGGAGTAGGAACAAATCGATGTACCCAAGGCCGCTGGCTTTCACTGATTGCTTGATGGAGGAACGCACTGCTTCATAGCTGCTGTTGGTGGCCAGCTTGGATGTGAAGAAGATATCTTTTCGGCCCAACCCGATCGTGTTCAGTGACTTGTCGTCCAGAAAGGAAAGAATGGCTTGCCCGCAAGCTGCCTCGTTGCGGTACATCTGTGCCGAATCAACTCCACGGTAGCCAGCCTGAAGTGCCCATTTCACTGCTTTAGCCGCCTCACGGTTTGACATCAAGTAGACACCCAAGTGAATCTGAGGTATCGAGAGACCATTGGGCAGGGTGAGTCGCGTCGACAAGGAGAAGCTGTTGGGAGCCATGTTCCTTCAGCACACTGCTAGCTGGCGGTCCGAGCTTGTGACAGGGGACGTGGATCACGGTGACAAGAGGGCAAGAAACCACCAAGACCGACGCGCCGCGCATGACTTAATAATTCGCAAAACGGGTATAGCGAATGACGCCGGGAAATTAGGAAGTCGGGAAATTATCCGACAAGCATCAAGCACGTGCAGCCGCACGTTCCACTGGCCGCTCCCTCCCCAACAAACTGCGAGAAATATTGTCACGAACGTCGACGCAATTGAGGCAGCCTACAAGCCTGGATCTCTCCATACTGCGCTTTCTGTGGCTCCCGTCTCCCACCGCCCGTGAATATAGTGGTGAGCGACGGCCCCAACCAACGAAAGCTGGTGGGAGTGCATGACCTTGGGCGGTCTCACCGCTTCGGATGTACTCCGTCTATATCCTCGGGCCATAGCATGAGACGATCGCACAAGGAAACACATCAGCTCCAGGAAAATCTGATTTCAATGCTGAGCTTCCCATAATGCTCTCATTGGATAGAGCGCTGTCGGGCCCTCATGCTATTAGGCATTTGTCGGCTTTCAACGGGTGGCAGACTTACATGTTTTCCGGTTCAGCGAGCAAGCGGCCGCGATTGCAGACCACGTTCAGATCGCAATAGCTGACAAGAACAATGGCGTTTTCGTCGTCGTCGTCGGAGTCCAATTTCGGCTCCTCGTCGAAGTCACTCAAAGATGCAGCTTTCACGGGCATCAATAGTCCTTCAGAAGCTGGGAGCCAAGGAAAGCCTCCCAGCGGGCCACAATTCGACATCATAGCGTGGTTTCCTAGGTACCAAAGCTGCCAGCGCTACTTCATTGACCATGCGCAACATGAGCCACTCGTTCAAGCCTTCGCCTCCTTTATCAATATCCTTTTACCGTTCCAGAGGCAGCCGCACCCCGTCTACAGCACGAGCGGATCTCGAAGCGGGAAATCGCGACTGGACAAAGGAGACCCCGTCAGAGCGTCCTCTTCTGAAGCGGCGGCGGCGGCTTCGGCCGTGTCCTTGATACCCTATCTCCGCCGCCTAGTGGTTACGGGAATGGATGTGCCTCAGGTGCTGCACGGTTTCTTCGGAGACGACTGGAGAGCAGGAATCGGGCCACAGAGAGAACAGGAGAGGCGGAACTATCTTTTTGCCGCAAAGAGCGGCGGATGGGCGTCGGTCAAGAAGGACTATGATATGCTACCCCTGGAAACAGTGCCCTTCATGCGACCGCTCTACAATCCGACCGATGGAGAGCTTGAAGCTGCCGAGAGGAGCTGGAGTGAATGGCTGGCTCTTGAAGACTGGATGGTCGGTTCACGTGCGCCAGATCACAGTGGTGACATCTCTTGACGGACCTAGAGGTCGCGTGGGTGTGGCATCGGACCTACAATAAAGTGAAGAAGGCTTGTCGTCATACCATGGAGGAGCATGAGTGATTTCCACCAGTTACATTGACCGGTGCACAAGAATAAGAGGCTTTGTCTTTCTTTGTTAGGATTGGACCAATCAGCTTTGCTAAGGCTGCATCGGAGCCTTGCTAGTGAAGTTTAGCGCAAGGCCGCAGCCGCGTGGTCCGAGCGCCCGCTTTGATCTCAAAGTCATTGATTAATTAATTGGGGCTTCTGTCAAACTTAACCAAGACTCAACCAATCTAGATATCCCTTGTTGTGAACACGGATCTGTGAGTCTGCAGCGACCGTCTCTGAAGGCCTTTTGATCACCTTTTGTCCTCGGTCAATGTCACCGCGGTTTCTGGTAACGAGCGCAACTTCGACCGCAATGTGATTCGCCACCGCTTGACCTCGACTAATTCCTTGTCACATTGTCACCCAGTGACCGGCCCTTCGGAGGCAGTGCTCAACGACTACGCAAATGGCGACTGCCCACACTTTACTGAACCCAAAGTCCTTGAAGGCAGCCTCGAACCCCCAAGGTGAGGCTCCCACATTTTCATCCTATCCTCTTACATTGGAAAAAAGAACTCTGCAAATTAATCCACCCCGATTGCTTGTTCTCATATCACTACGATTCTAACGCGGCATTGCAGCAAATTCGGCAAACGGCGCTTCACGTTCAAAGCTGTCGCGGACTCCAGAAAGAATGGAACATGATGGCGAACTGTCGCTTCCCGATTCACAAGTTCCCCATTTACAAGCTCCCCACAACTCTGCACGACTGTCGGCTACACTAAATCCATCAACGCTCTTGAATCCACGAGGATCATATCGCAATCAGAACTCAGCCAAGATGAAGGCCGTTGTCAATGGAACTGGTCCCACCTCCACAGATGGCAACAACCACGGAAACAGTAGTACAAAGTCGTTGGTAGAAAGCCTCTATAATGTGGAGAATCGCGCAAGCAACCCGAGGAAGAGGGTGAAGTTGGACGACCACGACCACAGCCATGAAACCCTGAACAAGAAGGCCTCGTCTTCATACCATCATAGCAACGGGGTTGTCGGTGAATATATGCGGCCGGATCCCGAGAAAGTAGCCGAAGCCGTGAAAAGCAGCCTGGTTGACCTGACCAACGTGGACGAGGAGTCGGAGGATGATCTGAAAATCGTCTCGGAACGCTCGCTCGATGATCAGGAGGTCTGCTACGGCCATATTTCTACTACCGCCCATGCTCATCTTGTGCCGAAGCCCAAGAGCATCAGTCAGTTTGCCCAGGACCGGGAATGGCCCGTGATGAAGTGTGATCTGGATCGGAAGGCTGGTAAAGACACCGTGATCGAAGTTCTGGATCCTTGGGGCACAAGCTTCGCAAGAGTTAATCCGGATTTTGCGGCCGCACTTGCGCCTGCTATGGATGCTTTAAACGGCTTCAGAGCCCAACCAAGACTGATCAATCGCAGAAAGAAGCTGAACGAGTGGCCTCACCAACCCTGTTCCGAGCAACTTAAGATGGTTGTTAACCTCTATGGTCGTCGAGGGGATGCTGCTAAGGTCGGCAAGCTTTTCGGTCAGAACAACTTCTGGTTACGGCCACCAATGGCATCAGAAGCCGGTATCCCGGTTTACAACCCGCACGCACAAAAGAAGCCGCTCTTTCAAGCAAAAGGTTACGACAAAACAATTCGACCATTGTCGGATGCTCGAACCTTGGAAGAGGCAACGGAAGCTGTGTCCAAAGTCTTCGATTCGTTCGCAAATGCGTCTCGCTCTCTTGGTGAAACCAATCCGCCCCTCGACGTTATCAGAACACCCTTACTTAGCCACCAAAAACAAGCGCTCACATTTATGCTACGACAGGAGCAGCCACGTGGCTTTGGGAGTGACGAGTCTGAAAATACTTCCCTTTGGAGGAGGAAAATACGGAAGAATGGCACTGTCGTCTACAACGAAGTCATTACCGGTATCTCTATTAAAGACGAGCCAGACCAGGTCCTTGGAGGCCTGTTGGCCGACGTTATGGGCCTTGGAAAGACACTTGAAGCTCTCTCGCTCATCTCCAGTACACTGGAAGAGGCTAAAGATTTCGCCGAGGAAAAGGTAATGAGGGATAACCAAGATGAAAATCAAAACCTTATCCTGTCCAACACCGGAGCGACCCTAATTGTCTGTCCGACCAGTACCGTCAAAAACTGGGAGGATCAGATCGCTTCTCACGTCAACCCGGATACCATGACCTATACTGTTTTTCACGGACCGAATCGAGAGAAGAACCCATTTGTGTTATTGAAGTACAACATTGTCATCACCACCTATGGAATTATTGGTTCCGAGTTCTCAAGCAAGAAGGAGGCCATCGTGAGTCCTTTGAGACAGCTGAAGTGGTTCCGCATTGTTCTAGACGAAGCGCACACGATCCGAGAGCAGAAGGCTCTACAGTCACAGGCTTGCTACAGCTTGGAAGCGCAGCGTCGTTGGTGCTTGACTGGAACGCCGGTCCAAAATCGACTTGACGATTTGGGGTCTCTGACACGATTTTTGCGCTTGTACCCTTACGATACCGCCGCCAGATTCAACCAGTACATCAGAGGACCGGCTCAGTCAGGCGACCCGTCTTTTTTGAAGGCGCTACGTATATTTGTCGACTCGTTCACATTACGGCGGTTGCGAGACCGCGTTGATCTCCCAGAAAGAAAGGACTATGTTGCTAAACTTAAGTTCTCCGATGACGAGCGGCGTCTGCACGAATTCTTCAAAGAGACGGCTCATGTACAGATCCAAGAGTTGGCGCGCTCCAAAGAAAAGAATAGCGGTGTCCAGCATCACGTTCTGAGAGGTATTATGACTCTTCGGCTGATCTGCGCTCATGGTCGAGAACTGCTCAATGAGAAAGATCTCAAACTGCTGAAAGGCATGAGTGCAAACGAGGCGATCGATATTGACGAAGAGGCAACGGCGCCCACAATATCGAGGAAGGCAGCCTATGAAGCTCTGAACCTGAGGATGGAAGCAGAGTTGGACGTCTGCAGGAATTGTGAAAGAAGCATCAGCAAAGACGTTGTTAAGGTTGAGACCGACACCGATGACGAACAAGCTCTTCGATGCTTCGTCCTGCCGTGCTTCGACCTCATCTGCGGCGATTGTTTCAGCTCAGTCAAACCTCATTTCGACAGCACGCCGAACAACGATACCGTTACCTGTCCTTTCTGCGCGGCAGACATCGCTGCACAATATGTCGGGTTTAGTGGATCCACAGCGCAGGAGATTCTCGTGGCACCTGACGATACGATCGACCAGGAAGAAGGAGAGGAGATGGTTCGAGCGTACAGCGGACCTCACACCAAAACTAAGGCGCTTCTTGCCGATATCGAGGAGATGTACAGGACCAGCGAACCACTAGAGGCTGCGGGAGAAGTCCCGTTGAAGTGTGTTGTCTTCTCGGAGTTCACGTCTCACCTTAACCTGATCGAAAGAGCCCTGACTGACCACGGATACTCCTTTGTCCGGATCGATGGCACCATGTCACTCAACGCCAGGAAGAAGTCTATGGATGCTCTCGCCACAGACAACAACGTCCGCATTCTTCTGGCATCGATCAAGGCGGCAGGCCAAGGACTTAACTTGACAGCCGCATCCCGAGCATTCATTATGGAGCCGATGTGGAATCCGGCAGCTGAAGCGCAAGCAGTCGATCGCATTTACCGGATTGGACAAAAACGGCCTGTTGTTATTAAGCGGTATCAGATGGAAGACAGCATCGAGCTCAAGATTGTGGATCTACAGCGGAAGAAACAGCAGCTGGCAGACGTATCGGTGAACCAGAATTACAAGCAGTTGAGCAAGCAGGAGGTGAGGGAGGCTCACATGAAAGAGATTTTGGAGCTCTTCAAGTGATAGTGGATCCGCTGGTTTGTCGTTCTCAATGATTTGGCAAAGGAGAGCCATGGAGATGGCCCGATACGAAGCGTCATTGCCACAGCGTATTTTTGAGATGGCATTTCATCGGGCACCAACGTTCTTGAGAGGGCAAAATAGATAGCGACTGGAGGCAGCAGGCATTGCATGCTGGTTGGTGCTCTGCGCTTTCCCAGAAGATTTACTACAATGATATCAATGATAATCAACAAGGAACTTGTCCATACGGCGCCAGATGGGATGTGGCTATTGCCCTTCCGGTGGTGGAGTAGAAAGCGGCAGGGAGGAGCGGTCAACATAGACTTGCTGGACCGCGAGCAAAGACTGTGGCTGTTGAGGCAGGCTCGTCCGTGGTAATTGAAAGCCGCGGGCATCGGAGAGACTATATGGACGAGAAGAACATGTCAACCGCGATCTGGTGCAGAGACGCATGAAGTCCAGGACGTCGGAGCCGGGCACAGAATACTGGTCCAATATCTCGAGTGCCGGGGGACCAGGTCGAGGCGGCAGGTGATGACAGCAATCACGCTATTGTAACGAATTCCCCCGTTGTTGCAGATAATCTGAAGCTTTTCAACACGTGCCCATGCACCAGCCACCTACCAGCTTTGACGGATGTAGTGACGCCCTTGCGGGTGCGGCAGAGGCAGCCATTTGAGAGGGATCTCATACTCCAGTGCCAGAACGAGGACCAGTACAAATAGAATCCAACTCCATGCGATTGTTTCTTTGCAGCAGCTAAAAACACACGACTTCGGGCTTTGAATAATCACTCTGCACAGTGGCCTCTCTGTTGTCCTCGACTCTGCTGTGTTGCCTCTGTTTGGCGGTGCACGTGGGGGGCCAAAATATCTCCGATGGACAAGAGGTTGAGCTTTTAGCTGCAGCAGGCGAGACTCTGGAGCCCCGGCTCGACACATCCGGGGGCGACCGCCAGTTCAACGCGGTGCCAGCCAGCCTCTTATCGCCACTAGCGAGGCACTAGTGCGCCTGTGACGATCGCCCATTCCCAAAATACCGGGAAACGGCAACCGACCACCGCCAAACGCAATTGCCCATCCGCTCGTCCTGATCAAAGTTCCGCCCGACCATCTTTTCATTGACCGTCTGCAAGGCACAATCCCAAGGATCGGGTCTCCAGGAGGTTGGACCATCAAAGCAGCTGGACATCTCCTATACAGCATTATCCTTCACCATTCTTATCCTTGTTTGATACTCTTTCGCTCATTTCCCGCCGAGTCGGGTTCTTCTCTGGCGTCACTCATTCCTCACTGCCGCCGCAGTTACAGTCGAGCAGCTCCAACGATTTCCACATCCTCCACTTGCCTCTCCCGCTTTTCTCCACCTAGATGTGCTGTTTGCATTGACCCTGCCATACCACCATTGAAAATCCGCGCTCAAGATGGTCATCGTTGATCATCACGAGTATTTGTGTGAGGAGGAGAAGCGGCTGAAAGAGGACCGTGAACGCACCAAGTATTGGAAGAAATGGGGCCCATACGTTGCTGAGCGCCAATGGGCAACAGTCCGTGAAGATTACTCCCACGATGGCGATGCCTGGAGTCATTTTTCCCATGACCAGTCCCGGTCCAGAGCTTATCGTTGGGGTGAAGATGGCATTGCCGGCGTGTCCGACACCCATGGGCTGCAAAACATTGCCTTTGCCTTCTGGAATGAAAAGGACGACTTCCTGAAGGAGAGACTGTTCGGTTTGAGCAACCCCCAAGGCAACCATGGCGAAAGCTTGAAGGAGGCTCATTTCCATGTGGACAACACACCAACCCATTGTAGGTAGCCACGCAGCTATTTTTCCAGACCCAGCTCGCTGACCAAGCCACAGCATATATGAAGTACCTCTACAAGCTCCCTCAGAAGAAGTTCCCCTACGAGCAGTTGATCCAAGAGAATGCAAAGCGCGGCAAACTCGAGCGCGAGTTCAACATCATTGACTCGGACGCTTTCAAGGACAATCGCTACTTTGATATCTTCATAGAGACTGCGAAAGAGACGGACGATCCGGAAGAGCTGCTGTTCCGAGTCACCGCCTACAATCGAGGTCCAGAGCCAGCCCCCCTGCACATCATCCCTCACATGTGGTTCAGAAACACTTGGTCGTGGGGACATGAGCCGGAGAAGCTGAAGCCAAACATCCGCATGGTTGGTCCAATGACGGCTCAATCGAAACACCACAAGCTCGGTCACCGCTTTTTCCAGCTATCTCCCTCACCCGGTTGTGGCCCAGACGCAGATGACGTTCATCCACAGCTCATGTTCACGGAGAACGATACGAACCTGGATAAGCTCTACGGGGTCAAGAACAAACAACCTTATGTCAAAGATGCTTTCCATCGATGGATCGTCGATGAAGAGAAAGGTGCTATTAACCCTCGCTGTTCAGGCACAAAATGCGCTGCTTGGTATGACTTTGGCCAAGGTGATGGGGTCCCGCCTGGGGAATGTGCCGTTGTCAGATTCCGTCTGTCGCGCAAATTCGACGGCTATCTCAACGAAGAGCTGGTGGACGACATCATCGAGCTGAGGAGACAGGAAGCGGACGAGTTTTACTACCGCATCAGCCCTTTGCCAATGGCCGACGACCTGAGGAATATCCAACGCCAGGCCTTCGCTGGCATGCTGTGGTGCAAGCAACATTATTACTTCATCTGGGATCAGTGGGCGAACGGTGATCCTAATATGCCACCACCCCCTGAAGGTCGCAAGAATATCCGCAATCAGCATTGGAAACACATGTATCTGGATGACATTCTGTCCATGCCAGATTCGTGGGAGTATCCATTCTTCGCCGCGTGGGACTCGGCCTTCCATTGTATCCCTCTTGCAATGATTGACCCCGACTTCGCCAAGAAGCAGCTTGACTTGTTCACCAGAGAATGGTATATGCATCCCAACGGTCAGCTACCGGCATACGAGTGGAACTTTGGCGACGTGAACCCGCCGGTGCATGCATGGTCTGTCTTCCGGACGTTCAAAATCGAGCGCAAAATGTATGGAAGGCAAGATCTTGACTTCCTTGAGCGCGTCTTCCAGAAACTGCTGCTTAATTTCACCTGGTGGGTGAACCGCAAGGACAATGATGGCAAAAACGTGTTCGAGGGGGGCTTCCTTGGTTTGGACAACATCGGTCTCTTCAACCGTTCCGAGCCGCTGCCGACCGGGGGTGTCCTTGAGCAAGCCGACAGCACAGGGTGGATGGCTTTCTACTGCCTCTGCATGCTGAACATGGCTCTGGAACTTGCCAAACACCGCAGAACGTACGAAGACATTGCGTCCAAGTTCTTTGAACACTTCCTGCTGATATCGGATGCCATGTCGTTCCGGGCGGGTGGCAAAGAGCAGAGTCTGTGGAACGAGGAGGATGGCTTCTACTACGACGCGATATCTTGGGGCGGACCGTGGACCCAGCAAATGCGCGTCCGCTCTCTGGTCGGCCTCATCCCTTTGTACGCTGTGTTGACTCTGGAGCCTGAACTGATCAACAAGTTCCCCAACTTCAAGCGCAGGATGGATTGGTTCATCCAGAACCGTCACGATGTTGCTGAGAGAAACATCGCTTCGATGCGCAAGAGAGGCAAGGACGAGCGTCTTCTTCTTTCTCTGGTCAGCAAGGAGAGACTGGAGCAGATCCTCAAGAGGATGCTGGATGAGACCGAGTTCCTGTCGGAGCATGGAATTCGCAGCCTGTCCAAGTATCACGAGGATCACCCTGTCAGCATGGATGTCAATGGCCAACAATTCAAGGTCAGCTATGTTCCTGGTGACTCGGACTCAGGGCTGTTTGGCGGCAATTCGAATTGGCGAGGTCCAGTGTGGATTGCTGTAAACTTCCTCCTTGTCGAATCACTCCTCCGCTTTTATATGTTCTATGGCACGTCGCTGCAAATCGAATGCCCGACTGGCTCCGGGGAGTACATGCACCTGGGTCACGTCGCCGAAGAGATCCAACATCGACTCCAGCATCTTATGGCTCGCGACAACGAAGGTCGCCGCGCCATCAATGCCGGCAACGACATTCTCGATTTCGATCCGCACTGGAAAGACTATCTTTGGTTCTTCGAGTTCTTTGACGGTGACACTGGCCGAGGTCTGGGTGCTAGTCACCAGTGCGGCTGGACGGGCTTGATGGCCAAAATGATTCACGACACTGGCATCAACTGCCGTCTCCCGCAGACGCCTCGGACACCCTCGACTGGCCTGGCTCACTACTTTGATGATACATTCTCGAGTGGCCTGACGCGGAAGAACACGTTTGTGGGCACGCCAGGTCCCATGCGCCGGTCATCCACATCACGCTCGCTCGGTGGCCGGTCCTCGTTTGTTTCTAATGGTACAAATGGCGACCACTCCGCTCGAGGTCAGGCCACGCCCGCCGTCATACACGACGTCGATGCAGCCACTTCTTATTTTGATGCGGCGGCATCTGCTGTCACCGATGGAGACGAGTGGGGCAAAGAGGACAAACTGGAGAAAGAGCGCAGAAAGAGTGTCGCGGACAGTCACTACGAGAAGTTCGTCAATGAACAATTGACCAAGATCAAGACAGACGAGAGTGTTGGTGTGTATGAGGATGAGTTCGAGGCGCAGCTGGATTAGACCTGTGCGACAGAGGTAAAGCCCGTGGTAGAACAAGGGGGAAAGCTTTACGAAGAAGAGGTGGCGGTATTATTAGACGTCCACGACTTGGACTGTATAGTAGTCCTACAGGCGATTACGTGGCATCGTTAGAATCATCAATAGAGCAAGCCGTAATAGAATGAATGCATTGGGATTGGAAGTGAATTTTCAGTTTTGTCTTCGTGGCCATTTCTGTCATCGCTCATTCTATCGTCTATCTTGTTTCAGCCTATCCAATCTTCGCTTCTGCTGAGACGTTCTAAGCCATCGCAGCACCTCTGTTGCTTGTCACAGACACACACTCGCTACTACTGCTACTGGCCATGGAGTCGGAAACCGGCAAGACGCTCGTGGCTGTATTGCGAGGCCGAGGTCATTTCGTCTGACAGTCTTCAAAACCATCCGAGAGGTGAGATTCATCTGGGCTGTGGTTGTCTTCGTCCTTATACCTGCGCGACTACAGAGCTCCGACGATCCCTGCCATGTTGGCCCCTCGTGGAACGTCGCAGGTTTCTGAACACCTTCAAAGCAGCATCAGTGCCCAGTCGCCTCTTGACGCGCCGTGGCCGAGGACGACTGGCGACTTGGTGAATGGCAGCTTCGATTTCTGCGATCGTGTCATATTGTCGGTACTCCTCCGCGAGCTCCTTTCCTTGCACGCGGTACCTCGGCACTGACAGGACCTCGTCCACCGTCTCGCGCAGTTGCTCCACGGTCGGGCGCAGACACTTGAGGTTGACAGCGACGCCAGCCCAGGCTGCTCGCGCACACGTCTCCGGCTTATCTTCGCCCACACCGGCGAGGACCATGGGCACGCCGCAGAACAACGCCTGCTGCACCGTACCGTACCCGGCATTGCTGACGAGGACGTCGGTGTATTTGAACAGCTCGTTGAAGGGCAGGTAGCTGGCCACGCGCACATTGTCCGGGACAGTGAAGGCCTCGATCCATTCGATCTGGTGAATGACTGCTACCACCAGGACGTCTTTGTCCTTCATCGCCTCGCAGGTCGGAATGATCAAGTCCGTGACGTTGATGTTGAGTGTGCCTTGCGAGACGACCACGAGTTTCTTCCGGTGTTGCACAACTTCGTCCCACCACGACGGCAAATCTCCTTCGGTTCCGGTGCCTGACGATGGAATAGCACCGATGAACCGGAACCCGTCCCTCAGATCACTTCGTGGGTACTCGAGGGATGGCACCGACATTTGGAGGAAGAGATCAGGCAGGTTCACTGCTGCATCAAAGTAGAACGGCACCTTATCCTTGCTCGCTCCCAGACTCCGCAAGAGTTCCTCGTATCTATTTTGGACAGGCGCCATTGCCTCTTCAAATTTCTGCTGGCCCTGCACATTCCGGGCACGGCCATCCACCGAAGAGTCTGGTGGCAGACCAGAGCCCATTGGGCCGGTGTCGATGCTTGAACATGTCAGAGATGTGTGTCCAATCCCTATGATGCCCGTGGGCTTCAGCCCTGGAGCCCCAAGTATGAGACCGCTGGTGCCGAAGTACAGACATGACTGCAGGAAGACCACCTTCTCGTTGCCTGTCGAATACGCTTGCTCCAGGAGGGCTTGCAGAACTTTGTGCTGATCCTCGATGACGTCTATCAAGAGTGAACGATGGATCCCATGGGCTCCTTGAAGACCTGGTGCGAAGGAATCGAAGACAGCGTTGGCCTGATAGTCTGCCTTGCCCCCGGTAAGTACGAACTTGGATCCGGTGAGCTCGACGGCCTTTTTGAAAGCAGAGCCCGTCAAGACAGTGACGGAAAAGCCCCTTTGCACAAGACCCTTGGCGACTTTGAGCATGCGTTCGACATGTCCGTAGATGGGAAGGACCCCCATGAAAACAAGAGGTCTGGTGTTTTGAACCGTCATGTTTTGCGACTATCAAAAGGCAAGCTATTGAAGTTAGGCCGAAACAACAAACGAGGGGATTATTCAAAGGCAGACCGCTGCAGTTGTCGATGTTGTACTGACTCGCACTGAGCAGAGAATGAACCGCCAGAGTCTGTCCTCCCTTTTATCGACTACCTCACGCGGTCAGCGATGATTACACTTGCAGTATCAGCCTCCCTACGACGACAGCAAGCCATCCTTCGATCACACGTGGAAGTGATCGGTGGTCGGGTCAGCTACACGACGCACGACCACCTGCCAGCCCAGGTCTCGCTTCGTCTGAGACAAGTCTGGACCACGGTGCTGATGACACCGCTGTTTACAATAGAGCTGATTGCTGCTGTTGATGGAGCATAAGCGCCCTACCTCGTATTTGTGCTAGGGCGGGTGCCTCCGAATGTCTGGTTTGGTGATCCTTGTTGTTATGGAGTGGTGCCATTCTATCCTCGCGCAGGGTACCAGCAGAAACATCACAGAAGTTGGTACGATCGAGACACCAGCCCTTTGCGCGATTAGAATGGTACCACTCCATAACAACATGGGTCACCAAGCCAGCTATCGGGGTTGTGCTGAAAGTTACTCCCCTTCGATCACATCGACGACGGCTTTCACGTGGCGGCACCCAGCCCACCCTTAGCTCGACGATTTCAGCCTTGGAAAATCCTACGACTACGGTGAGGAGAGTCGAGAGCAGTGAACTTACACACGCCCCCAAGACTTAAGCGAGTGGCCCCCGGCGATGAGCGAGGCGCGGACTAATACCGCCAATCTGTCGATAATTTATAATGTGATTGGATGGAGGTTGAAGCCAGGAACCTCAAGTAAGCAGCCAGATCGTACCTCGTATGTCTCATCTGAACAGACTCAGGAGCAGGTACTCCGAATAGGCCTCACAGACAAGATACGGGATGCCCAGGGACAAGTGCGACGTTTTCATTCAACCGCTTGATGCTGCAGCTTGCCGACTTCCGGTCTAGGCTGTGTCAGCAGCAATACTGTGTCGAAGCCAATGGACGCCGGCGTGCGGAAGATGGGGGACGCATCGACCCTGCTTTCCGACCTTGTGGGGGTCCGGTGAATGGTCCAAGCTCAAAACCCACTGCGCAAGATGGCTAGTCTGACTACCACCGTATATCCACCCAGCCCTATGGGCTGATATCATGAAGCCCTACACCGACCCACGGCACGAGGTGTGCGACACGAAGGATGCGATCTATCAGATGATATGCAACTGACAATCCCTGGATTGCTGGCCTTGGACGGGTCGGTGGAAAGGAGTAGTGGAGGCACGGTCGTCACAGCTTCAGAGTTCCATGATTATGATGATGCCTTACCAATGCTGGAGTTGGACGATCACCGATATGCTTGGATCAGGTCATCCTGCGGCCTTGTTGTTTGCGCGTCCTCCGAGACCGGGCCGGGAAATACAGCTTCTAGAGGCAGCCGTGTGCTCGGCGTGATCGTGCGGCCGTGCAAGCCGAAGCAGAATTTCGGGCAGAACGTCCTTTGATGTGGCCAGTCACCACGCCCAGCATGTTCGAGACCTTTCAGGACGTGGAAGCGAGATCGTCTATGTCGTCGAAGAGCAGCGTCAATGTGGTCCAGCGCGATCCCACTGCATCTCCGATGACTTCAGACATAGCGACGTCGATGTCTGCAACCACTGTGAGCAAGGAGAAACAGGAAAGCACAACGGGGGGTCAAGGTCACATCGACGCTTCTACTTCGACCTCGAATCTCCAGTTCGTGTCAATTGTTCTTGCATTGTGTCTTGCAATATTCCTAGTCGCACTGGTATGTTCTGCATTGTTGGACACTCCTGTCAAGATGTATTGTCGTTTCCACTAAAACCTGCTGCCTTCAGGACAACCTGATCATCTCGACGGCAATCCCCACCATCACGAACACATTCCACTCGCTCGACGACGTTTCTTGGTATGGCTCTTCCTACCTCTTCACCACATGCTCCTTCCAACTCGTCTTCGGAAAGGCGTACACGTTTGTTTCGCCGAAGTATGTCTTCGTCTTCGCCATCTTTCTGTTTGAGGTTGGCTCAGCCGTGTGTGGTGCTGCACCCAGCTCCGTTGCGTTGATCCTGGGACGCACCATTGCCGGCGTCGGATCTGCGGGTGTGTTTTCAGGCGCATTGATCATTATGGCGGGATTGGTACCCTTGGAGAAGAGGGCTATCTGTGAGTTGTTCTCGTTGTCTTCACATGCTTGCTAATGGTAAGAAGATAATGCTGTTCTGAATTCCATGTATGGCATCGCGTCTATCATTGGACCTTTGATCGGAGGCGTGCTGACCGATAACCTGTCCTGGCGGTACAGTTTTCACTCTGCTCCCTCTGTGCCCGTCTCCGCATAAGCCTCGTCAACTAACTGCTGTGTCGCCAGCTGGTGCTTCTACATCAACCTCCCTCTCGGTGGCCTCTCTGTCTTTGTTATCCTATTTGCCCTTCGGCCAAAACATAACAGCAAAAACTCGAGGACCTTGACGCTCACATTCAAACAAAAGGTCGCCTACGTTGACATCCTTGGCACCTCAATCCTCATCCCTTCTATCGTATGTCTTCTGCTCGCCCTGCAATGGGGTGGAACGGCCTATTGGTGGTCGAACTTCCGGATACCGCTGTTGTTCGTCCTCTCTTTCACGCTTGGCATCGTCTTCATCTTTGTACAATTTCGCCAACCCGGACCAAATGCCACCCTGCCGCCTCATATTCTGAAGCAGAGGACGATGGCGGCCGCAAGCTTCTTCACCGTGGCGCTCGCGGGCCCGTTCTTCATATTCATTTACAGTGTGCCCATCTGGTTCCAAGCAGTCCAATCCACTTCCGCCGTCCGCTCCGGTGTACTGATCATCCCGCTCTGTCTGGGCGTCATCGTCATGTCTCTTGCCTCCGGAGTCGGCACAGCCCAGCTAGGCTACTATGCACCCTTTTTCTACATCTCAGCCGTCCTCCAGTCCGTCGGTGCCGGACTCATGACGACGTGGACCGTGGCCACAAGCACAGCAGCACAGGTGGGGTATCAACTCGTCTACGGTTGTGGAGTCGGCTTTGCGATGAACCTGCCCTTTGTGTGTGCTTCGACGGTGCTCGCCGAGGGTGACGTCGCCATCGGGACTGCCATCATCACATTCCTCCAAACACTCTCCGGGGCTGTCTTTCTCGCGGTCAGCCAGAATGTCTACTTGAATCGACTGGCCTCGTCGCTGAGCCGGGGTTTGCCGGACCTTGACCCGAACCTGGTGTTGCACGTGGGAGCGACGGAGCTGAAAAATGCCGTATCGCCGGGTGACCTGGACGTGGTCAAGCACGCGTACAACGACGCTTTGACTTTCATGTGGTATATCTCCGTGGCATTGGCCTGTGTGACGTTGTTTGGTGCTATGGGCATCGAGTGGCGGAGTGTCAAGGGCAAAAAGGTTGGAGGGGGCGAAAAGGTGGGAGGGGAGGGCAGTAAGGCTGAAGAGGAGGGTATCAAGTCTTCAGAGGAGGGCTGAAGACGCAAATCTAAGTGGGCGCGGTTTGTATGTCTATCTACCTACCACGCCATGTAGGGATCGGTAGATGAGCCAGAGCGCCGTCACCGTTATGGATTGCGAAGTGATATACCCCTTTCGACATTAAGGCAGATGGTGGAGAGGAGGACCTGGAATATCATCCCAACGACGACGGGATGATTGACAGGTAGCATTGGTCATCTGTGAGTAATTTCGGAGGCCGGGCGTGAAGAGAACAGGGGAGGCGGCCTGCTCCGTGTCTGCCAGTTCAATCGACTATGTCTGCACTACCAGTATCATTGCGTTTTTGAGCAGCCGTAGAGTGGAGGCCCTGTTTGAGCGTATGCTGAAGGACCACTAGAAGGCATGAGATGGAAGCCCGGTGGGTAGCGTACTGTAATGTGTTCTCAAAGTCCCAGTATGCAATGTGTGTCCCATGTTCCAATTGTTGTTGCGGTCAACTTTGTCCTCCATCTTGCTTGCTCGCGCGTGGAATGCAGACGTATAGTTGGCCATGTACACTCTTCAACTAGCAGTCATCTAGACGACCCTGTCGAGGCTAGTATAGAAGATATGGTCGTGTAGTTAACCGAGGTCATATACTATACGGAGTCACCGAGTATACCTAGTAGTACTCTACTCTATACGCTCGTACTCTATCTGATAATATACAATACAGAAACCGCAGTATAACGCCCTAATAACACTACTTAATATAAACATATCAGCGAAACTTAACTAAATTCAACTCAGCCCAACTCAGGTCAACTAGGTCATCTCAACTCCACCCAATATAACTCGATTCAACTCGATTCAACTCGTTCAACGTAATTCACCTCAGTGGAACTCAATTCATCTTGATTAACCTAGATAGTGTAACCGTCGACCTCCTCTCCTGATCACCCTCACACGACAACCTAAGCACGCAAGAACACTTGCCGCACCACGCCCCGGCTCTCCATCTCTCCACGTTTGCCCGAGCCATAACGGGAAGCAAACCCCTCGTATATGTAGTATATGTAGTATATGTACAGTACATTACCTTAGACAAATGCCCGACCGACATACTCTTCACGTGCGTGCGCGTTTACCTGCGTGCGCGCATTGCCTTTCTTTCACCCGCTCGATCGTCGAGTCTTCTTAGAGCGCGACGGTGCCACTCTGGTCGGTCGAGTGTGTTGCGCATGCCGCGCAGCCACCGTTCGGAGGGCCAGCAGATCCTTTTCCCTTCTGACTTGACGCGTAGAGAGCAACCGTCGAGGATAGACGAAGCGGGTCCTGCGCGACTACCTACTCGTAGGCAAGCAAGATACAGTACTCCCTACAGGGGATCGCCCCGTCGTCGTCGTCATCGCGCGGGACTGCCATCAGGAAGCACTGTCAAGCTCGGCAGCCCTTGCGATAGGACGGTAGACCTTGTCGCGATTTTGCAGCGCGGTGACGGGGGATGGGATGCACGCGTGGTAAGCGTGGTCAATCTGCAGACTGCGCGACGGTTATGCCTGTGGGCGGGAGCTTGTGCTCATGCTTATCCTTGTGCTCGTGCTTGTGCTGCCCATACGAGAAATGGCCTTGATTTCATGTCTGGCTGTCTGGAGTAGTGCCTCAGCGATGTGCTTGTCTGCGTGTCCGCTGGTCTTGGAGTCCATGTTAACCAAGTATATCTGTAGGTATGTAGATATGTGTGTTTGGATCTCAATCTTGCAAGACCTAACGCAGGGGCTCTATTCCAGGCGTTTTGCGTTCGCATACTCACCTCGACGAGGGCAACGTGACGAATTGATCAAAAGCAGTCATTGTGGATCACTGAGTGTATAGAGGTAAGCATGAGCGTGAATACTCTGTAGCTTGTCACGCTGAAGCGGTAGTGAAAATCCTCTGGAGCTTGTCACGCTGAACCGTTATTATGTCCAATAGAAGCCACAGCCCGTCTGGTCCGTACATACCTCTGCTCTTCATATACCAAAGTTGCTTCCCCGTCCGGATATAAAGAGGCGATTTATCGTGAAATTCTGAGCCGAAGGTGGTGGCTTACTGTTTATGGGTTCTGTGTTCCTGTTTCGTCCGATTGGGTTTGTATTCCATGATTTTCACCATGGTCCACGTAGAGTCTCTAATGTGGACGACAGGTCCGGCACACACAGAAAGGTTGGCTCTCTGTCCGACGTATCGAAGTTCATGCATGGGAAAGATGAGCAAAGTTTAGCGTCAGACCTCCGGCGATTTTTGAATCATTTATCTCCACAAAAACAAGACTTCCTTTGCTCGTTGTCTGCAATCTGGGAGGTTCGGGAGATACGGTCTCCACGGCCTGAGTTGGAGGTGAACACATGTCAAGCGGCCAACACGCCCGAAGCGCAAAGCTGAGTGATATTGGCTCGCTGCTTGTGATATATACAGGATTATCCCATCCCCTGTTCCGAAGGTTGAGCTCGACTCACCAAGCCCGCGTCTTCTGACCCAAGCCAACTAACCACCTGATCTCTGCCTGACCGTAATGCATATTGAAAATGATCTTACACGGTCTCAGTGAGCATCTTGTTCAGTCGAGAGATCTTGTTCGACACGCTGAGGTCAATGGTCCGCTCGCCGATCTCCACAATCAGACCCCCAAGGATATCAGGGTTGACTTTGGTGACAACTTTCAGTTTCTTGCCCTGGCTGTACTCGGATTTGCTGATGGCGGTCTCGAGGCGGCGAAGCATTTTGTCGTCGAGTTTCTGCGGCCGTCAGTACGTGCTTCTAGAACAATGCTAGAATGGACTTCATTTTCTGAGGATCATTTTGCATGGACGTACCGCGGCACTCGTGACAACCAACTCCAATTCTCCTTTCGCGGCACTTATCAAGGTACCAAACTTCTCGCAAACCCCTTCGAGCAAGCCTAGTCGGTTGTTTTCTCCCAATGCCTGCAGGAAGTTCTTGACCGTCCCGCTCTTGTCGGCACCTCCAGTGTGCTTTTCCAGCTCGGCGATAATCTGTGATTTGTCCGAGTCTGACAGCATAGGGGCAAGGAGGATCTGGGGCAGTTTCGCGTCGGTCTTGAGGATCTGAAGCAGGCTGGAGATCGCTTTGGCGGTAGGGTCTAAAGAGCCTTGTTTGGCGGCGGCCGTGTACTATGAATCCGATCCCGTCAGCGTCATAGGCTCAAAGGTGAATGTTTCGTGTTCCCAATGCGGCATCACTCGGGTGTGAGCCGGGCTTCATCCTCCTCTTCCTGTGGAAAAACGCTTGACTCGCATACCAGGGCATTCGCATATGTTCCATCGAGACCAAAAAGCGGGACAGGGGGTTTCGTGTCTGCGGCGGCGGGAGCAGCGTATGTTCGGATAGCTGTTCTAGGGGCTGTTCGGCGGGCAGCGGCAAAGGCCGGCCGCATCAGCCTAGCGGACATCATCGTGCGATGTGTTAGGAGATGATGGAATATGCAATCTCTCAAAGGCAGGAATGCGGCAGGGAGGGGAGAGTCGGCTTCGTCCTTCACGATTTTGGAGCTTCAATTGACGATGAGGTTTGGGAGCTTCAAATCGTAGGCGCACTAGTCCCGATCAGGCCACGCGCCGAATGATTTAGAGTACTTTCGCACACCACGTCATCCGTGTCGCTACGCTCATCTCGAATTCACCTCATTGCTAGGAAACCGATGCATTGCACTTGTTCAAGAGATAAATGAGATTGTCAAGATGAAAAGTTCGCAGAGAGATTCAATCCTAAGAACAATGGTCACAACGTCCTGTCTTTGCCGACTGTCCCTATCCACAACGCCGCGTGTGCAACAATCTAAATGCTCCCTCTGACTCGCCAAACTCTAAGCTCCCAGCGCTTGAAAGCATTTCATCGTACGTCCCAGTCCAGAAGTCAAATTCCGGCATTGCACTGAAATCAAGCATGTGGCTCGAAGGACCAGCTCCTCACATCGTCCTCGATCACCAGGCGCAACCCTTTGACGTTAATGTGCTCGTACATGTTGGGAATAGCAGCTCGAGCTTGTTTGTGCCAAGGTCCCCGACCTCCATTGACAGCGTCCTCCTTGCTGCGCCATAGGCCTGCGGGAGTATCAGCATAGAAACCAGAAGGAAGGATTGGGAGTGACCCACATGTTGCGAGGTTCCTCCTGTTCGCGTCAGGAACACCGTACCAGTACTTCAACAGGCCGCCGCTCGCTGTGGCTTCGATATGAGACTGTTTGTCGAGCTTGAACAGTAGGTCAACATCAATGTCCTTCTTGAGCTTAGATCTGAATTCAACCACATAGAATTCGCGCCGCGTCCATTTGTATCCTTCAGTGGCTGCGAGTGACTTCAACTTGAACATCAAGCTGTCCCAGTCGAGTGCTTCTTCGTATTTAACCGTGGCATAGTGAGGACTTGCTGGCTCCAGCTCCGTTGATGCAAGAGCAAGAAGTCTGTTCGGCGTGTCGACACTGTCCAGATCCAGGAGATGCTCGTGCTCGAGGTAGGGTGAGACTGTCAGCCAACGGGTCGGTCTGTGAGCACCGTCACCAAAGGATTGAGCTGCTTCCTTCTGGACAAACACTGCCGCGGGACCTTCCTCGGCTTTGGCCGGATTCTGCGCATCGATTGGCGTCGGACTGGTTTTTTCCTTCGTCGTCTGTGCGGCTTGCCCCGGCGCCATTGCCATTTCGAACTGAGTACTGCTCGCTGTCTGTGAGGCCGAAACCTGTCGTATCTGACAGCGATAATATCCTGATATAATGCTGACTATTGTAAAGCCAGACAAATCTCGCGAAGTGAGTGACTGATGAGGTGGATCTCAGAGAATATTGACTTTTGGCCTGGAGCGGTATTGTGTGCAATTCGCAAGCGATCACGCAATTGTAGCTTACCTGAGGGTAGAGCAGAGAGCCACCAACATAACAAAAGTGCAGAAGTACGAGAGACGCACGGAAAGTCGCAAACCGTTTGAACCTGGCTCAGCGTGTGTGGCGGTGAATGATTCTGTTGACCGTCACTACATCCTTCGGACTCCATGTGCGGTGGGATGCATTTCCCGTTTGACCAGCACTATCCACAAGGCTCCGGTAGTGATAACGCCCTGATTTCTCCACGTGGACAGTGTCTCTCGATGGCCCACGACAGGAGCTATTGGACTTGGGCACCGTCTCAAGGGCTGCAAACGGGATCCAGAAGACCTGATAGTCGACAGACGGGAAGGGGAACCATTTGGAGCTGCAGGTATTTCACGTGCATCAACAGAAAGGACAGTGTGATCCGCCATTTCCTTCCTAATCGAGGCAAAATATCACGCAAACAAGGACGTGATTCGCAAAAGCTGCGACGTGGCATATTGAGGCCAATCCTTCATCTGCCTGTGCGGTGGTGAGGAAGATAAGAGAAGATCAACCACGTAGCCGATGCCAGGCCGGACACCCGCTTATATACCTGCGGCAGAGTACGGAGTACAGGAGCATGTAATGATTCCGGAATCAAGCCATCGTAGGACTGTCTTGCCAGCTGCTCTGAAGCCAGAGATCCGGTCGCGGCAACCAAGATTTCCGCCAAATCGAGGTGATGGTAGGTCACGCCGGTGCGCGGTGTCGAAGCATGATTGGCAGGCGTTGCCTGGGGAAAGTGGGATGAAAACGGGCTGCAGTGGCAGCTCGGAGGGGTCTTTTCCGTTCCGCAAGTTTCAAAAAAATATCACCGACATTTCTCATTGTCCTCAAGTTCTGCTCACCCCTCCGACAACAACAATCCCACACCCTTGAGTTACCATTTACCCCCCTACTCAATCACTTCAATATGGCTAGCAATGGTGCTCCCGCTCAGAAATTCAAGGTCGCCGACATCTCGTTGGCGGCCTTTGGTCGACGTGAGATCGAACTCGCCGAGATTGAGATGCCCGGTCTGATGGCCATCCGAACGAAATATGCCGCAGACCAGCCTCTCGCTGGTGCCAGGATCGCAGGCTGCCTTCACATGACCATTCAGACCGCCGTCCTCATTGAAACCCTCAAAGCCCTCGGTGCTGAAGTCACCTGGTCATCATGCAATATCTTCTCGACACAAGACCATGCCGCCGCAGCCATCGCCGCTGGAGGCACACCTGTCTTCGCATGGAAGGGCGAGACTGAAGAAGAGTACGAGTGGTGCTTGGAACAACAATTGAAGGCCTTCCCGTCAGGAAAATCACTCAACCTCATCCTCGATGATGGTGGCGATTTAACCGCCCTCGTCCACAACAAATACCCAGAGATGCTCAAGGACTGCTACGGTGTGTCGGAAGAAACCACGACTGGAGTCCACCACCTTTACCGCATGCTGAAGGGCAAATCCCTCCTGATTCCCGCCGTCAACGTCAACGACAGCGTCACCAAATCCAAGTTTGACAACCTGTACGGCTGCCGAGAGTCCCTGGTGGATGGCATCAAACGTGCTACAGATGTTATGATTGCTGGAAAGATTGCCGTTGTGGCAGGCTATGGTGATGTCGGCAAGGGCTGCGCCCAAGCACTTCACAGCATGGGTGCGCGCGTCTTGGTCACCGAGGTCGACCCCATCAACGCCCTGCAGGCTGCTGTCTCAGGCTATCAAGTCGTCACCATGGATGACGCTGCTTCCCAAGGTCAGATCTTCGTCACCACCACCGGCTGCCGCGATATCATCGTCGGCAAACACTTTGAGCAGATGCGCAATGATGCGATTGTTTGCAATATCGGCCACTTCGACATTGAGATTGACGTCGCCTGGCTCAAGAAGAACGCCAAGAGCGTTCAGAACATCAAGCCTCAAGTCGACCGGTACACAATGCCCAGTGGTCGCAACATCATCCTCCTGGCTGAAGGCCGGCTCGTCAACCTCGGCTGTGCCACCGGCCACTCTTCCTTCGTCATGTCCTGCTCCTTTTCCAACCAGGTGCTTGCACAGATCATGCTGTTCAAGGCCGAGGATGAGGCATTCGGAAAGAAGTACATCGAGTTCGGAAAGAGCGGCAAGAAGGACATCGGTGTCTATGTCCTGCCCAAGATTTTGGATGAACAGGTTGCACTGCTGCATCTGGATCATGTCAATGCCAAGTTGACCAAGTTGACTCCAGTGCAAGCCGAGTATCTTGGCTTGACAGTTGAGGGTCCTTACAAGTCTGATATCTACCGCTACTAGACAGTCAGTGGCCGCACGGGATTTTGTGCTTGCTTTCGTCTGCATGCAGCCGGATTGGCGTTGTACGGTCCGAACGGAAGAAAAGCTCCTTTCTGATGCTCAACGCATAGAAATTGCGGGCCTGAAGCGTCTGTCATGTCATATGGCTCGGAAAGAAGGATTTATCACACTCAACGAATGAAATGAAATATGGATTTTGAAGCCTGTTACAAGGCTGAGGCAAAGGGCCCCATTGGATGTGGTCATCAAAAGTCGTCGTCCTTCAACAGACAGACTGGAAGAAGCTTCATCAGCTTCCTCAGATAGATACCCCAGTAGATAAGAATTTATTCAAGAACATGCGATACCCACCTGAGGACGCAGTAAGGATCACGTGTGTCACCCATGTGTGCGCTAAAAACCACGCTACGTGTTTCAGATAGAAATTCTCCATCGGTGAAGACACGATGTAGGACATGATAACAACCTTGGGCTCGATGCACAAGCGCAAGATTGCTGTGCCATATCAAGCAGGGATGTTTCGCTTCATATCCCTGGCGGAAGACTCGGCGCCGGATTTTGCTGGTCGTCGCCCTCGGGGATGAGAACTCTGGCAGCCGCCTGTGCGATCAGGTCGACAATGTCCTCCTCTAATCGCTCGGCTTCGACCTCGAGATCTTGCTGCGATGGTTTCGGATGCACGAGCGTATGGTACGGCCGGTCGTCATCATTGCCATAGCGAAATTTCTTCCCCAGCTGGACCAACTTGCCGGTGACCTTGCAGCTGAGGTAAAACGGTTGGCCCGGGTGCTGGATGATGACGCCTGCGAAGAGCGCACCGACGTCCTCAATGTCTGGGTTCTCGGCGACGGCCTTCCATGTCCACTGGGCGGTCGTGTAGACGCCCATTTCGTTGTTGACCCTGTGGCTCTGGAACCGCCAGCAGCGTTCGATGTCTCTGTCGTTGGTGAAGCGGGGACCGATCCCACCGAAACTAAAGGAACCGACGCCCAGTTGGGGTTGAAATAGCACCTCCCGTGAACTATGCTGAGTGGACGTCTTGCCTCTGAGGTACTTTGGCGAAGGGGGCTCCAGGATGTTCAGTGAAGGTTCTCTCCGAGCGGTTATCATCGGAGGTACTGCGCCTATCGTTGGTCTTGCAGCTGTGGAGGCCATTGCACCTGCTGTCGTGGTGGTAGCGACCGTGGAAGCTGAGGGCAGCTCCTCCAAGAAGGACTGTTCAACCACCAGCTCTTTCAGTTTGAAACCATCGTCCTGGCGGGGATCAATCAACAGCTGCAGCACTGCGGCATCTTTGTCCTGCAATTTGCCCCATTTCGAGCTGTTGCCGCGGGGGGGCGCAATTCACATATGCTTTGCCAAAAGTTCTTTCTGCGACTGCGACATCTCGTTCTGGATGAGCTTGCCGCACTGGACGTGGCTCACGAGATCTTCGCTTCGAGAGCCAGCCGGGGTATCTGATCTGGGTTCGCTTCTTGGGCCGCTCCATACCCCAGATTCACCATCTTCTACGTGACCTCTCTAGGATGAATAACGGCTCAAGAGAAGGTGTTCAGCCGCACACGAGCTTCTCAGCCTCACCGGGCATTCTCTTGGCTGGGATTGGAACGCCATTGTCTGTCACAACATTTATGTGCGTGTGACGGAACATCTTGCCATGGAATGCCCCAGTCGTGGCATGTGATGCCAGTATGGCAGTGGTACTGGCAGTACTATCTTGTCAGCCCGAGAGCAGCCTGGTCCCCATGACGGCGGGGTTTAATTGAGCCACCACCTCGCCATCATCTGCCAACTACGACCTCAGTCAGTTGTGCTGTACATTTCAGCCTCCACAAATTCGATAGGCAGGCTTGCATCCAAGGGCAACACACCGGTATCAGCCATCACGCGCACGGTACTGTTCTACGACTCCGTCCACAAGAACACGACCATAACACCAATACAAGGTGGCAGCGCCGTAGCGGCCTCTTCGGAAAGAGCTTCGGCTTTTCCTCAGAGCAAGGCTATCATCCACCGGGCAAAGAATTTTGGTCCCTCGTTTGCCATCTTCGGTCCTACCAGCGTTCGTCGCCATTGATGGTCCCTTCATAGCAGCCTGATCCTTGAGAACCCACGCACAGCTCATCTTTCAATCTCCTTGCATTCTAGGGATGTCACTCAACGTCGACACCTCCCACGCTTGAATATTACAGCCTTCTGCATTCCATACAGAGTCTGCGGAGCATGTTCGTCAATGGACAAATCATCTGCGGCCCGACCTTCCCGTGGTTCTCCCATTGACCTCTCCAAAGACTTCGACTTCCGCATGGAATTCAATGTCGAAGAAGACGTTGAAGGTGAGCTAGAGCACTTTGTCCGACTTGCACGGCTTGGTCTCGCTAAAAAGGCGCGCGACTACTTTATTGAAACGCTCTCATCACATCTAGGTCTTTTCCCCGTTTTCGCCGAATACGCAGAGTTCCTTGTGTCGGAAGGCGCCTACGACGAGCTACTTTCCATCCTGCCAGACTCTCGGTTTGATTGCGACTTCTCTCGTGCCGAGTACGCTCTAGTCAAGTTACTGAGGGCCTTGATAAATGCTAGAGCGGGTCCTGACTCGAGAGATCCTCTCTACGTCGCTCGGCAATGGTTTTTCCATCAGGACATGTACGACGTCCGTGGCCTTGATGAGACGACTGTAAACAAGCCCGGAATCCTTGATACTGCATTTGCGCTAATCTCACTAAAGATTCAGTGTCTAGAGGTCTGTCTTGCTATTGACTGCCAGACCGAATCCCCGAAGGACGCTGGACGCGGTGGCAACATCCAGCACCAGGTGCCAACGCGCCGTCTGCATATTTTGTACAGCCATTTCAGCTATGAAGAAATTAACACGGTAGTCGATTCCTTGATCCGAAAAGACAGATACTGGGAAGCCAGCAAGATAGTCAAAGTTTTCTTCGAGGCAGCGTCCGGAAGAGAGGCTGAAGAGATCCACAATGTCTTCTGCGACGGCATAGCTCAGGCTGCCGTCATCGACGCGGACGTCAAGGTGGCAAGGCTGAGTGTCAATAATGCATACCTCAAGTTCCTGGTTCAGCATATCGACGTCGACCGAAGCGTGCCAAATCAAAAAGTAATAGCATCGAGGGATTTGGAGCAAACAATTGCAAGTGACCTCCGAAATTTGCTTCAAGACTTCCGCGACTACGGTAGTCGACATACGGAACAATTCCTCGACAATCTCAACCAGATGTTCGAAAAGTCTCGGTCGGTCCCCCTCGCAGGACTACAAGAGGAACGAGGTGGCCAAGTCTCGTCACGGAAACATCGCGACAACCGGGTAAAACCCCCGGAGGATACACCAACGAGTGCTTCGTCCACTTCCGGACTCCTTCGACGATCCGGGGTCCCTCCGCCGTCAGAACAGGACGACACACATGGGAAATACCTGAAGTCGAGATCTGAGCGTCCTGGACATGGATTTTCAGAGTATGGTAGGCGCTCCGGTGCTAGTGTTTCTGCACATGATCGGGGTTCTGGCAATCTTCCCCGGGGTGCTCCTAGCTCAAAGATTGTGGATCCAAATATGCGACACAGGAATTACCCCAAGGCTACCAATTCCCCGAGAGGCGCCGACCTCCATCGTCGTCGGAAGGACTCTAGTATTAATTCGGTTGACGATTCCATCGAGAACCCCACTGGGAGCATTTCAGATCGGACATCTGATCAAAGCATTTCAGACTCCAGCAAAAAGATCGGCAGATTTGCCGAATTGTAGGAGAGAGCTTTCCTTCGACGAGTTGGGCTCGATGGCAAGGGACGGTCAACGGAATAGCCCAGATATTTCGACGAAGCCGAACACTCAGAAGTATGCAGTAGTGGTCATCAATATCGATAGGCTGGATTCCCTAGCTATTCTAGCTTCCACAGCAGGGATCGATTGTGCTTGGGTTTCTCGCGTGGTTTCTGATAATCGCTTTCGAACCCTGCTACTGTTTCTTCAGAGGTTCTCGCCTACCGGAGGAGAAAATCCCAGGGGTTTCCTTCTATATTGCCCGTACTTGCGCAATTCGTGGGATAGTACTCTACAACATGCCTGGCAAACCACTGAAGCTTTTCTCCACCAGATTTGGTAAGCGCCGCTGCTTTATCATCAGCTTCGACATGCTTCAAGTGAGCATGAGGCTGTGGCTCCCGGGGAGGGGGGGGGGGGCACAAGGACGAGGCTGAGGGTCAGTGTGACATACGTGATTGGACGATCAGGCTGAAGCTGAACTCAAACTTGCGAGTCGAGCTTCTTTATTCCTCGCTCATAGACATATGCATGGTCGAAGGCTGCTCATCAGCATCGTGCACGACGTGATATCTTAGTACACAGACCTATAACATCGTAATCACGCCCGACGCGATCTTAGGATCCACGTGCGAATGACACTTCCGAGGTCAATGAGGAGGATCAACACTCACTGACTCTAGCAGTGAGTCATCAGAAATCGGTGCGAGCGACGCCTGATCTGCTGGAGCCGCCAACATTGGATGCCATCCTCGCTTGATGTCCGGCAGCTCGGCAGCCTCCAATGTGTAATTTGCGCCTTGTGCGGCATATCAAATTCGAGGTCCAGACGCCGGCAGCTTGCCCAGTCCGATCACTGAAACATTCTCCCTCCAGGACATTGCCAATATCCGCTATATACAGACGCGTTCGAACAATGACGACAACTTCATCTCCACCACAACCACCAAACATGACATCGGCACAAGGAGAACTGACAAACAGTAAGAAGGCCAGAGCAAAACCAAAACCACAACCCAGGCACGCGCCACCTACACATTTTCTATGCTTTCCACTCGTGACGGACGAATCGGTCCGCCAATTGACCGAGTCGTTGGCTTACTTCAGATCCGTCACTACGCCACTCCCGGAACAGGATCCAGATGCGACTCCCGAACGGGAGGATCAGGATCAGCAAGAAAGTACTACCAAAGATGGTGAGCGTCAAAAGCTGAGACTCCTGCCTGAATCGGCACATCGGCCACCCGGAACGTACCATTTGACGCTGGGGACAATGAACTTGTCGAAGCAGGAGGATATGGACAAGGCGGTTGCGCTGCTGCAGCAGATCGATTACCTTGCCTTGCTGAAAGATGCTGGGAGTGTGGATGGTATCGTGAGGCAGGCGAGAGGGAGGGCGAGAGCCAACAACGCAGAAACGCAAGTAGAGACAAAATCTATGCTCGAGGAACGGCATGATGGCGGAGAGGGAGACGGACCACCGCGACGACAGAGCGGAGAAGCTACCATCTTGTCGAACCCAGGATCATCGGAGTCAGCCAACACCTTATCACACCCAGAATCATCGGAGGAATCTCAAGACAATCTCCTCGCAAGCACCGAACCAACCAAAGGTGGTCCCCCTTCCTCCTCCTCCTCCTCCTCCCAGCTTCACGCTCTTAAATCTCTAACTCGACCAATCTCTCCACCACCCCTAACAACGTCATCTACCTCCATTACCACGTCACCTTCGCCTGCTGTCCCTCCGCTCTCCATTTCCCTTCATTCGCTCGGCGTGTTCCCCAAACCGACCGGCGCACGAGTCTTCTTCGCGCATCCGCACGACCCAAGCCATCGCCTGCAGACGTTCGGGCAATCAATCCGGCGACGCTTCCGAGACGCCGGCCTCATCACCGAAACGAGACCGTTAGTCCTGCACGCCACGGTCGCGAATTTGATCTACGCCCGGGGGAAAGATCGACGCGGCGGCCGCGGCGGCGGCAAAGGGAAGTCTTCCGCAAATGCAAGACCACGCGCACGGGACGGCACCGTCGACGCCACGGAGGTGTTGCGGTTTTTCAACGGTGATGACAATCGCGGAAGATCCGCTCGGCAAGGCGAATATATGGGTGCCTTGTCCGAGAGTATGGCGCTGGACATGTCGGCGCAGAAAACGATTCAGAAGCCTCAACGGCCAGAAGCAGATTCACACGCGACTCTACACGTCCAGAGCGATCACGAGCGCGATCACCATCATAATCACTCGTCACCGTACGTCTGGGCGAGAGACATCCCCATCACTTGCGTCCGGATATGTAAGATGGGGGCTGAGTCGTCGGTACTCCCGGGCTGGGGACTCGAGTATAGAGCTGTGGCGGAGAGGGTATTCATGCCAGATGCGGTGCGGGAGCGTGAGCCGCGTGTCGGGAACTAGGTTGGGTCGACGCTGTAGGTTTATGGATGATTTACACAGTACAGGGATGGGTCTGGAGTGTGGTGTATGAGTATGTAGTACTGATACTGCCTTGGGTGGCCGGACGGCTGGTGTACTCGATGTAATCACTGTGTACTCTGTAACTCGTACTGTGTGCCGTACTGCATTGCGTGTGTGCGAGGATAGTGTACGACAGGAGAGCACAAGAGGATGAAGTACCATGTACGTACTGTGTATGTTCGAGTACTCCGTCTGGTACGAGTACTGAGCACGGGTGCCAGCGCTTCGGCTACGGGCGAACTTGGGAGGTCAATAGACGACGCCTTTCTTAGATACTAACTTGTCGATTTACTGTACTTACATGGGTACGTACTCTGTACAGTAATAGGTGAGGGCCTGGATGAACTGTACTTTGCACGGAGTCTACAGGCTAGACCGTGACGTGGTGACTGACCGACTCCTTATTACTTATGTTGGCTTTGGCTATAATTCCTACAGATGATATTAATTTTGTGAACCTCGGAACCGGGATTCGAGACCGTCTTCCTCTACTCGATAGTATCCCTCCCTTCCCTTCGTGGGCCATAAATGCACCTTCTTCAATATTGTTCGAGCAGCACTCTCCCGAAGGAAGACAAAGCAGATCTGATGAATGTCAACTGAAACATCAGTGATGTGGTTCCTCTGCCGTCCGGCCCACCACATTTACAGTGCCTCGTACTTGTACAATATCCTTGTCGGATGGTCTCAAGTGACCTCGCGAACGCCACCCACTGTCCTTGTTCCAAAGTCCCGCGCGGCATCGCTAGAGATACCCCAATACTGTGATACTGTGTCGTCGTGACAATTTCGCGCGCTGGTAGGGATTCTTCTTCCTGAGTCCGTCCTCAGGCTCTATCCAGAGACGGCATCCCAGTGCAGTGTAAGCTTCCGCCATGGGTTCAGCCTCGTACTCCAGACTCAGTTTCAACATCGGCATGAACTCGAACCCGGATGACGGCGGATGAACACACTGCAGCATAATTGATCCGTTCAATTTCAGTGCGCCTCGTCGGTCGAATGCTGTGTTCAGAGGGTGTCGTTGGGTGTCCTCGGTTTTCAATTCCAGTCTGGATGGATGTATGGATGCTTCTGCGACCATAAGTCGTGCTGGACCCACCGACGTTAACTGTGGTGGATAGATTTATGGCCCTTCGACTTCAAGTTCCTTCAAATCCAGGTTGCTCCGAGTGCAGGTCCCTTCGAGTGCAGGTCCCTT